ACGATAATTTGCTTAATGTAACTATTTCGACGATATTCCTGTTGTTATCGTGAGATAGTGTTGTTGCTTAATCCACTCAAAAGGATAAAATAATTTAACTAAAAATTAAGTAAAAACAGAATTCAAGGCACTAAAGTGGTTAAAATAGGTAGGTTTTAAACGTGGTAGAGCCATGCTGCAGCTATTAGTTGTACAGTTGTAGCACGAATGGGTCGGCTCGACCGGGAAAGGACCACGCTCTCACAGAATACCAGCGTAAAATAGCAGCTTAACGCTCCTGTGTTTCGTATGGTGAGTGTAGAGAACCGGAGACCCTTTTTACTGGAAACGAGGCATTCCATCTTAGTCCTCACAGGTGACAACACATCTGCATTTTGATTCGTAATCGAAGATAGATGTAGATGTCTATGGGCAACAGTAACCACTTCCCATCAGGTGGTCTGTGTGCTCGTTTGTCACCCATATCCTATAAAAAAAAGGGCCATAGCTTCTGAAGTTAGGGGAGTTTATTATTTATTCTTTAATTGTAAAAATTTAAAATTTAAACTTACAATAAAAAATCTATTGTTAAAATCAGTTTTAACTAAATATAAATATAATAGAGTACAAGCAAGTGGTCTTAGGCTACAACATCCGCTTGCCATGAGGTAGACTGTATGTTCGTTTGTCACCCTTATCCTATAAAAAATAAAGTAGACTTACTGATTTTTAAAAGGATAATTTTAATAAGAGGTCTTCACCTATGAAATTGCCGTTCTGCAGTACTTACCGGCCATTTCAAATCAAAATAATTTTTGTCTAGCTAAGAATTCTAATTTTAAATTAATTTTCTTTTAAAAACATTTGACATTTGTTTATTGATTAGCGTTAAGTTTTCATTGCATTTGAATATTCGGGTAGAATCTACTAATTAGTCTGTGATTTGAATCTTTTTCGTCATCTTTAAGAATTCAACTAATTATGGAATATGAGTGCCGTCGTGGCAGCAACGCGTGGCAGCAACGCAACATCAACGACGTTTACGCAGCGAATAGTACAAACGAACGCACCACCTGTTAATGGTTTGCCCGCTTCCGTTCTGCAAAATTTCGACCTGAAAAATGAACCCCGTGGTTGCCCGAAAACTTTGGTCGACAATGACGAATTAAAGGCGATTGTGGAAGCTGATCATATTCAATCTACGGCTGAATTCCCGGCAGCTTTCTACGTTAGCATCAAAACAATATTGGTTCATTTGTGTCAAATTGGGAAGGTAAAAAATTAACAACGCGAAGTACACGTCGCGACATGCCTTACACTGCTCAACAGGCACACAAATGACGAAATTTTGAACTGCATTGTTACCTGCGACATAAAATGGATTCCGTTTGACAATCGCAAGCACTCAGCATGTTGGTAGGATCCTAGTTCAGCACCTAAACAATGCCCTAAACGAAAGCTTACCTCTAGAAAAGTGATGGTCACTGTTTGGTGGTCTAGCGCCTGTGTGATTCATCACAGCTTCTTACCAAACGGGATGAGCATTACTACAGATGTGTATTGTGAAGAACTGAACACAATGATGGAGAAGCTTAAACCAGCTTTGGGCAATCACTCGTCCGCGGTGCTCCTACATTACAACGACCTCATGCTGCACAACAGATGGTCTCCAAGTTACAAGAGCTGAGGTTGGAAGCTCTCTGTCTGTCATCCGCCGTACTTACCAGCAAGGTCTGGTAGGTAGGCCTACAGACTTACTTTTTCCAGAATTAGGAGACTTTTTGGCGGAAAAAAAATTCAATACTCGCGATGCAGTACAAAATGCCTTTGAAGAATTTGTTGCCTCCCGTTCAGCCGATTTCTTCATGAAGAGCATTAATAACCTTCCACTACGTTGGCAAAGAAGCGTCGATTGCATGGGTGATTACTTTGATTAATAGAAATAAAAAATATAGAAAAAAAATACGTTAACTTATTACATAAAAAATGATAATTTCATAGACAAACATCCAATTTACGAGTATTGTTTCCCACGCATCACCTTTATTCACAATTCAACCTTTAAGTTGAATGAACATTGAACTATGCAATCAAGTTATTTCTAGTGCAGTGCATTGATTAACATTTAGCAAGATGGCCATTTCAAAAGGCATGTGTTTATGTTAAGTGCAGGATGTGGCTCATTGATGAACTTAATTCTTTATGATTAGACCTGTCTGACAGGAAAGCGACCAGGAGCTATTAGAAATAATTAATTTTTCAACTTTGTTAACTGTTATAACTTTTTTTTATAGGATAGGGTGACAAACGAGCACACAGTCCACCTGATGGTAAATGGTTGCTGTGGCCCATAGACATCTACATCTATACTCGTTTGCGAATCAAAATGCAGTTGCGTTGTCACCCGTGAGGACTAAGATGGAATGCCTCTTTTCCAATAAAAAGGGTGTCCGGTTCTCTACACTCACCATACGAAACACAGCAGTATTAAGCTGCTATTTTACGCTGGTATTCTGTGAGAGCGTGGTCCTTACCCGGTCGAGCCGACCCATTCGTGCTACAACTATACTATTAATATAATTGCAGCATGGCTCTACCACGTATAAAATTATGTTGTAATAAGAAAATGCTGCTGCCCGTCTACTATATCCTTTTCTTCTGTCTCCTCTTAAGACACTCACGGGTTGATATGAAGCTGTTGATTCTCTTTCATGGCCTCTATACGGCGATACTCGGATTCATAAACTGCAAAACTGCAAACTGTCCGCGCTCGTACAAAATAGGGATGAAAAAATAAAAATACTATAAAAATACGCTGCTGGATGGAGCTAAAATATGTAGAAATTATTTTCTATTGAAATCTAAAATAGTTCCCACACATTAAAAGTTTTGATCGTTTTGAGTGAACTTGGAATATCACAAGCTTAACGTTATCTAAATAATTACATTAAATACTTCATCCCCTATTTTTTTACCCACAGGAGTGGAATTTTATCAGGATTTAATAATGGGACTACTCTTGAAGCTATAACATACCTATTATGTATTTAGCTATAACCTATTTATTAAAAAAGAATTATTAAAATTAGTTCACAACTGACGAAGATATCGCGTAAGATAGATCATACAAAATAAATACAGTCTAATTAAAAATTCCTCCCTTTCAATTAAAAATTTTGTACAACCGATTTCAATATAAATTATTAAGGATAACTCAAAAAATATTGGTCAGACCTTGATCAAATTTATATGGGACCACATGAGAAGCCCCAGCTTTCTAATAAAAAAAAATCATCGAAATCGGTTCACGTAGAAAAAAGGCCTGAGGTAACACTCATAAAAAAACATACAGTTGAATTGAGTACCTTTTGAAAATTTTTGAAGTCGGTAGAAAATAGATAGGTAATGAGCAAGAAGACGTAGAGCAACTTTTGTGTAGTACACTAATCAATCTACCATAAGTGATTATTTTTGAAGTACTTAAAACAATTACATTCGCCCAGAAGAAATGCTGCCGCATCCAATATTTTAGCAGATCGCAAATAATAAACCGTGCGATACTTGAACCGGATGCGCGGTCAACAAGTTTCGCCAAAGTTTACGAAAACCAGCACGTAAATATTGCGATAGGATATTCAAGATTATGCTACAAACATATATAATATAATACCACATGATTACCTACAAATTTCATTTACAAACAAAGTGGCTCAAGACGCGCGTACTTAATGTATAAACTGTAATTACAAAAATAAATTGTGAATTTTTGGGATTGCTTTTTCAACACCAAATCGATTTATCGGTTCGCATTGCGCTAAATTATTGAATCTTTCTTCATTGAATAGACAATCTGATCAATATATGTTTCACAATCTCATTTTAAGAGCATCTTTGTTGAAAATTATCGACCAAGCCGAAAATGAATCAAAAGTGGCAATGGTGTAATGAAAATGTGATGTAGATTTCTTAATGTCGCTTCTATCGCTTGGTTCAATGACTAGTAAAAAAGGTCACCGCTTCTCTATGTTCAAGAACACAAGCGTGAAATAGCAGCGAATAGTATACAAACAGCATACGAATCGCAGCAGTGTAGCTGTGATTCGTATGCTGTTTGTATACTATTCGATGCTATTTCACGCTTGTGTTCTGTATGAGCGAGCGTCTTTCTACCTCGGTCGAGCCGACTCATTCGTGCTATAGCTGTTGTGTGGTTCTACAACGTATTGTGTATTTATTCAAAAATAGGAGCATTAGCAAGGTGATGTTGCGACCAGGATTAAATAAAGGAATGCTTCGGTGGTTTTGTCATGTAGAAGGAATGAATGAGGAAAGATTGAAAAAACATTACGTTTCAGAAGTGAACGGCACGAGATTGGAGTCGGCAAGAGATGCCCTAGACGAAAGTTTATCGACCAAAGTGATGATATTTTGAAGATGGGCTAAATTAAATGTACCCTTAACGACGAGTATGTATGCGTAGGTAAATGGATGTAAAAGAGACGGGAGAAGTGTGTCAGGATCGTGCCAAATGGAAGTCCGTAGTTAGTAGTGGAAGTTAGTAGAAGTTTTTTTGTGACAGGCATGAGTGTTTATGATGATATAATTTATGAATTTAAATTCACCTGGCCTGATGGGCAACATTCGTCATTAGATTATTGAACAATTAAAGTCAAAAGGACAATGACAAATGTTTTGACCTACTGGGCAATATTGACGATATTGCTGTATTATTTTGTATTTTACATGAAGAAGTGAGACTGTGTTAGCTTAGGAAATAAACGTTCGTCTTAATTTCTTTCGAGAAGTATCCAAGTTTAGGTCTTAGTAATAATAGTTATACACAATCTCTTTCTTCTGCTTTGTTGTTCCCACAAGGTGGTGGTGACTTCTTTTTAAATTTTTCTTCTTGCTTTCACTTTGTTTTATATAGGTAACGCATAATCTTTAGTTAACTTGCGTGCGCTAAGACATTTGTTGACCTCATCCGTTTTTAAATAATGAACAAAAAAAGAAAGTAACACTCACCTATTCAGCTCCTTCAATTTTGTGGCTGCCTGCAAAGTTGCATAACCATAACGGGAGTATCTGGCAATGTCCTCTGAGGGCGCGTTGAAGGCAGCAACATAGCGCGCCGGATTTGTGTCGTCTAACCATATACCTAGAAACATCATCTATATCAGTGGGTCTTTTCATCCAACCAAATACCTGAAGAATCATTTACATTCTGCATAGATCTTTTTGGCTTGCACGTCTACTACTGTGCAAATAGATTGTGAGGAGAGGAAGTTAAAAAGTAATTATATGATTGGCAATTCACCTTACTCAAAAAAATGTTTAAACTTTAAGATGTAAATAAATAATAGGTCGGGGAAAAAGTTTCTTCGTATTTTGTTTGTATAAAATTGAAGAAAAATTTTTCTTTGTACTGTTTGTATCTGACTGGTTTTAATATCAATGCATATAAAACATTAAGAAAAAGAAAAATAAAAAGTAAAAAACCATTGAGTTATATGTACTACGTACTAGAGAAGTCATTCCAAACAAAAATGTGTAACTCTATGTAAACAAAAACTCTATGTAATCGCGCATGCGCGGGAGTAGTAGTCGCGCATGCGCGAAGACTTTAATTTAATATAAAATAAGATATTAATATAAAATAAATATAAGTATTTAATATAAAATATCTTAATTTAATCTAAAAAAACATATTTCTAAATAAAATGTAATAATAATTATTTTATGGAATTCACAAATCTTAAATTTACGCAATATTTAGTTTGTATGGATTGCACTACAGTTCAGTTGAACATAGTCAATGTTCGCAATGGCTTCTCTAGTACGTAGTACATATAACTCAATGTAAAAAACACTTTCCCGCCATTTTCAGTTGTTTGTGTGTACGCCGAAATTAGTGATTTTCACAAAGAAATTCTGAGTTAAGTTTGAACTTTTATTACAAAAAAGGGAAAAATGCAACTCAAGATTAAGAAAAATTTGTGACATATAAGGACCGAATGCAGTATCAGTAACAGTAGCACAAAGTTGGTTCAAGCGTTTTCAGTCCGGGATTTTATGTCAAAGATGCAGCTCACTCTGGTTGTCCTCATTCGGATAAAGTCAATGCCATTTTTGAAAAAGTAGAGCAAGATCGGCATATTAGTAGTTATAACAGAGTCGAGGAATTGAGGATTGACCACAAAACAGTTTTGGCCCATTTGAAAAAGTCTGGCTGTACAAAAAGCTCGATATTTGGGTAACACACGAGCTCAAGGAAAGAAATCTAATGAATCGTATACTCATTTTCGATTCTCTATTGAAACGTAATGGAAGCGAACTATTTTTGCAAATATTGATCATTGGTGATGAAAAGTGGAGCACCTACGATAAGAACGTGCGTTAAAGATCATGGTCAAAGGGTAGTTTATCTCCACAGACTGTAGCGAAACCCGGATTAACACGCAATAAGGTGATGCTGAGTGAGACTAGAAGGGCATCATTTATTATGAGCTTTTACCGCCGAGCAAAACCATCGATTCGGATCTCTACTGCCAACAACTAATGAGATTCAAGTAAGAAATTTAAAAAACGGCCGGAATTCATCAACAAAAAAGGAGTGGTCTGTCATCTTGATAACGCTAGACCACACACATATTTGGCCACTCAGCAAAAATTGCGAAATATTGGTTGGGAAGTGTTGTGGTGGATGTACCATGTAGTCCTGAGGTTGAATCCTCAGATTTTCACCTGTTTCGGTCTCTTCAGAATTTTTTGGGTAGTGTTAGGTTAACATTAAGAGAGGACTGTCAAAACTACTTGTCGCAGTTTTTTGATAAAAAATCCGAGATTATGTCACTACCTGAAAGATGGCAACAAGTTATCGAACAAAATGGCACATATGTATTATAATTAGGTAACTGTAATTAAACTTTCCGTGTTTCCGTGTAGTGGCGGTTAAGAATATCCACTACCCCATATCTTCCCGTGGGTGTCGTAAAAGGCGACAAAGGGAAACAGGCACGAGATGGGCAGCAGCATCTTCCTGGTAACGACAAAATACAATAAAAAACTGCGGTTGCCAACCCGCTCGCCAAGCGTGGCAACTATGGCAATATACCCCCCATAATGAAAGTTACGAAGAGACGGCCCCCAGTCCCCGGCGGCCCCGCTATTCCTGGCTACGGTGGCGACCATGGTAACGGCGGGGCAGGGGGTGCTAAGAATCTCCGGTGGAGGTTCGGTTGCCACCTACAACGACTCGACCTGGCAACATACAACGCACGCACCCTGAGGACTGACGAGAAGATTGTGGAGCTGGAAGAAGAGATAGACAAGTTACGCTGGCATATTATAGGATTATCCGAAGTCCGAAGAGAGGGGGAGGACACGGTAATCCTCGAATCCGGCAACTTGCTCTATCACCGGGAGGGCGACCATCTGTCCCAAGGAGGTGTCGGATTTATCGTCCACAAGTCTCTCGTTAACAACGTTGTAAAGATTGAGAGTGTGTCGACGAGGGTTGCGTACCTTATACTCAGAATCACCAAACGGTATTCGCTGAAGGTCATACAGGTTTACGCACCAACCTCGGCACACCCCGATCAGGAGGTGGAGGAAATGTATGAGGATATCTCTAGAGCCATGCATTCCTCCAAAACCCAATATACGGTGTTAATGGGAGACTTCAATGCAAAACTAGGCACAAGAGAGAACGGTGAGCTGAAAGTGGGGAAATTTGGAATAGGGCAACGGAACCCAAGGGGCCAGCAGTTGGCCGACTTCATGGAGAAAGAGGGACTCTTTATGATGAACTCTTTCTTCCAGAAGCGGCCCCACAGGAAGTGGACCTGGTCGAGCCCCGACGGTTCGACAAAAAATGAGATTGACTTCATTATGACGACCAGACGACAACTGTTCAGTGATGTCTCAGTGATCGCGAGGGTGAAAACCGGCAGCGATCACCGAATGGTTAGAGGCACACTGAACCTAAACGTTAAGTTGGAGAGGTCTCGTCTAATGAAGTCAACGCTCCGTCCCCCTCGTGCTCTAATCCAGAGTCCCGAAACCTTTCAGCTCGAGTTGCAAAACCGTTTTCAGTGCCTAGAAGACTGCAATGAAGTGGACGATTTGAATGACAAGCTCGTGGAAACTGTCCATGCGGTCGGAGCTAAGTTCTGCAAGACCCGCCGCAGAAGAACACAAAAACTCTCCGATCACACTCTTAATCTCATGGCTGTTAGACGGGAGATGAAGCTACATTCTTCAACAGATTTGACAGCATACAGGCAACTGAACAGACAGATCTCCAAATGCATGCGGCGGGACTTACGCAACTTCAATACAGCTTGTATTGAAGAAGCGATCGAGCGGAACCAAGGCTCCAAAGTCTTTGCCAGAGATCTGTCTGCCAGAAAGAGCCAACTGTCAAAGCTGAAGACCGAATGTGGCAGCATCGTTTCCGGGGCACCTGAGATTTTGAGTGAGATTGAGAGGTTCTATGGGCAGCTGTACACGTCATCGTTGGAGCCACACGCAAGTGTGAGTAACGATCCAAGAGCGAGTCTTATCCGACATTATTCCGATGATATCCCGGACGTCAGTCTGAGCGAGATTAGAATGGCTCTCCAGCACCTTAAAAACGGCAAGGCCCCAGGCCAGGATGGAATTACAGCGGAGCTTCTGAAAGCGGGTGGAAAACCGGTACTTGAAGTCCTTCAGAAGCTCTTTAATTCCGTCCTCCATGGTGGCATTACACCGGAGGCGTGGAGCAGAAGTGCGGTGGTCTTGTTCTTCAAGAAAGGCGACAACGCTCTCTTGAAGAACTACAGACCGATTTCCCTTCTGAGCCGCGTCTACGTGCTGTTTTCGAGAGTCATTACGAATCGTCTCGCGCGCAGACTTGACGACTTCCAGCCTCCCGAACAAGCCGGTTTCCGAAAAGGCTTTAGCACCATAGACCACATACATACCCTTCGGCAAATTGTACAGAAATCCGAGGAGTACAATTTGCCACTATGTCTGGCGTATGTGGACTATGAGAAAGCCTTTGATTCCGTCGAAATTTGGGCGGTGCTGCAGTCCCTTCAGCGATGCCAAGTTGACAGTCGGTATATCGAAGTGTTGAAGTGCTTGTACAGTAGGGCTACGATGGCTATCCGAGTACAGAACCAGAGTACGAAACCTATCCAATTGCAGAGAGGTGTAAGACAGGGTGACGTCATATCCCCGAAACTCTTCACCGCTGCATTGGAAGATGTTTTCAAGCTTCTGGACTGGAAAGGATACGGTATCAACATCAATGGCGAGTACATCACTCACCTTCGATTTGCCGACGATATAGTCCTTATGGCAGAATCGCTGGAGGACCTAAGCACTATGCTCAATGACCTCAATAGTGTTTCCCAACGGATAGGTCTTAAGATGAACATGGACAAAACAAAGATCATGTTTAATGTCCATGTCACACCTATGCCGGTAGTTGTTGGGAACACTAAGCTCGAAGTTGTTGACGAGTATGTTTACCTGGGACAAATAGTCCGACTAGGTAAGTCCAACTTCGACCGAGAGGTCAATCGACGGATTCAACTCGGTTGGGCAGCGTTCGGGAAATTACGGCACATCTTCTCGTCAGGTATACCTCAAAACTTGAAAACGAGACTGTACACCCAGTGCGTGTTGCCAGTGATGACATACGGAACTGAGACGTGGTCCTTCACTGCTGGCCGGTTGAGGAAGCTCAAGGTCGCTCAGCGAGCTATGGAGAGGGCTATGCTCGGAGTTTCTCTGCGTGATAAACTCAGAAATGAGGATATCCGCAGTAGAACCAGAGTGACCGACATAGCCCAACGGATTAGTAAGCTGAAGTGGCAATGGGCCGGCCATATAGCTCGAAGAACCGACAACCGATGGGGAAGAAAGGTTCTCGAGTGGCAGCCTCGTACCGGCAGGCGAAGTGTAGGGCGTCCCCCCACTAGATGGAGTGACGACCTGGTAAGATTTGCAGGAAGTCGATGGATGCAGGTGGCTCAGGACCGTGCTTTGTGGCATTCTTTGGGGGAGGCCTATGTTCAGCAGTGGACTTGTGAAGGGCTGTAATGATGATGATGATGATGAATTAAACTTTGAAAAAAAAAAGTCTTGAATTTGTCTATAAAATACGAAGAAACTTTTTCCCCGACCTAATAGAAAAATTGACAGTTGCTGTCACTGTCCATTAGTCAGTTCTTTCGCAAGATGGTATTAATTTATTATTTTATTTAATATATATGTTTAGTTGCACAACTTTAGAAAAGGGTAGTAAGGATATTAGTAAAATGTTTTTCTTTTATCCATCACAGCCTATCAATAGGCCTGAGCTGAACACAGGCCTCCCCCATATATTGCCTTATAGAGATAATATATTTGTCATATTAAATTTGACAAAAAATTACTTTGCGTACATCCGCTAGATAAAATAAAATGATGTATCTTACCTAGTTTGAAGAGCACCTCCCGCCCTCCCTCAATTGCGTACACTATCCCCGTCACCACTAATCCCAGCACCACTACTCCCAACACGGACGGACGGGGATAGTGCACGCAATTGAGGGATCGAGGGAGGTGCTCTTCAAACTAGGTAAGACACATCATTTTATTTTATCTAGCGGATGTACGCAAAGTAATTTTTTGTCAAATTTAATATAATGGACTTCCGCAAAGTAACGCCTGATTCTATTAATTATATTTGTCATAGTTACTACGCTTGGCAGGCATAGAGCTGGCAAACACAGTTTTTTGTGTTAAACACAAAAATAATAAAGCATTTTGTTACAAGACCGTTAACACGTTTTAATTCAGCGTTGTGGACTTTTTTTAACATTTTTTGCCCTATAACTCTCTCAGAAAGGAAAGGCGGTTTGTGTCAGGAGTGGAACACCAGTCAGTTTACTTTTGCATTACTCTTTTACTAAATGAATACAGTAATTAATTACTTACCCATTGAGTATAATTTTGGTTCTAATACACTGTAGAGTTCATGCATTTTTTGCATTCCGTACTCAGCAGCTTCTAAAACGTCTTTCTTTTTGTTAGTTGTTGAATTAACATTTAGGTCTGCCTGCTCTTCACTGTAATCTGAGCTATCTTTGTCCGAATAGTAGTCATCTTCAATATTTTCTTGATCGGTAATTGGTAATTCTTTATTAGCATCTACATAATCTTCTCCGGCATTTTCAGTGTTAGTTACGTTTATTTTATCCATGTCAATTGTTAAATTTGCTGCTGTAAGATTTCCTTTGTCACAATATTTAACTACAATCGTTGAAACATTTTTAGTTTCGGAAATTGAATGGTTTTTGCTATGATTTCGTTCTACTATAGTTACACTATGGAGTTCTTTGTTTGTTGAACCGTTGAACATAGGCATTAAATGTTTTAGAACTTCAATAATGTTGTGTTGGGATATGTGACTTGTATTATTAGGTTCTATTGTTAAAATTTCTGCATAGTCTGTTTTGTTTGTTGTATTTTTAGCATTACTTATTTCTTTTATGTCAAGCTTTTGTTCCTCGGCTTCACGTTGTGAGCTTTTAAGGGATTCGTAATCTAATTTATCTTCAATGCCACTTTTGATATGAGTGGAATTTCTATTGTGTTTAATTTCATGTTCAGTTTTAGTTGCGTTATTGTTGTCTTTACTATTATTTTCAGGCACTTTTAAAATTATGGCTTCGTTAAGTCTAGTTTCGTTAGAGTCTATTTGTAAGGAAATATTATTTTTAATTCTATTTATAGACGCAATAATGTCATTTATTAATTCGTCTTGAATTGATATATGAGTATTATTGTAGGCTGTATAATTTTTAATCGTACTCAGCATAAATTTTTCACTTTCACCATCTTTTAAAGTACGTTCTGAATATTTCTTTTGAATTCTAAATATGTCTTCAATTATTCTTGTAAAAGGACAGCTATGAGTTGTATTTTCTATTGCAGTATTTGATTCACTGTCTGATTCTCCATTTATTAGTAAAGGGAGTAGCAAGAAGACGTATTGATATCTGAAAATAAACACATTTTTAATAAAAAATATAACAAATCTAAATAATTAAACAAATCTGCTATTTCCAATGCGACTGCCAATTGTAGGAACTATGGCGAATTCCTTTTCTATGAGATAATATATGGGGGCGGCATATCTTTTAGCAGTGGGTTATTGGTAGGTTGTAATATGTACGGTATGTCTATTATGCATTCATAACATTTTTTTGAATCATAGACAAGTGATTCAAACAAATAAAAAAAAGTGTTAGGAATATTATGTGGTCTAGTTCGTGCGAGTAAGTTATTCAGATTCAAATTTCAAATTAAAAGTCCTGCTTTCATCACATCGCTTTACTCAGTAAGTCAAGGTACTTCAAGCCCATTTAAAAGAAGTTCGAATAAGAAACTTAAATATTCTGTATTATGTTACAGGCTATATTTAACTACTTTAGAGTAAAAGCGGTGACCCAAGTTGCAAATAAGTCATAATAACCTTCATTTATCAGAGCTAACTTTCCAGTACGTTCGCGCTTTATTAGCAACGGAAAGGCAACTTTCCCTGTTTCGTTATGAGGGAAAACTTTAATTACAATCTGTGGAAGTTAGTCGGGACATTTACAAAAAAGAGATTAAAATATTCATTATATCGTAAAAAAGTCGATGTACACTAGTACATCGACTTCCTGCATATCTAACCAGGTCGTCCCTTCACCTGGTGGCCTACACTCCGCTTCTCGATACAAGCCTGTATTCAAGAACCTTTCTTCTGCATTGATTGAAGATATTTTGCGATATATGGCTGATCCATTTGCTTTGATTGCAATTATGATTAGTCTAAATTCAGATCGGTTCTTACTTGATCGATATCAAATTTAATTTAGTTTCATAAAGAAACAATAAATTTGACAAATGTTCCTTATGGATATAGTAACATGCAGTTTTCATCATCTAGCTCTATTTTAGAAGAACTGTTATTTATTTCATGATTAAGATTTTCTAGAAGTGGGAATTCATTGCCACCACCCACTTTAACTATTCTGACTAACCTTTTAACTTTTTTAACTGTTTTCAAGCAGCAGTGCGTGCACTGCTATATTTCAGTCTGAAGTGTATAGAAAGCCAGTATGATTACAGGTTATCGTTTAAGAATCAAAATGCTAATGCGTTGTCACCCCTGTGAACTAAGATGGAATGCTTCGTTGCCAGTGAAACGGGTATTAGATTTTCTACACTCATCATACGAAACACGGGAGAATTAAACTGTTTTTTACGCTGATATTCAGTGAGAGCGTGGTTTTTCCCCGGTCAAGCCGATCCATTCGTGCTGCAATCTTAATACAGCTGCAAACAACTCTAATACAGGTTTACCTTGTGCTCGTTTGTCACCCTTAGGTAATAAAAATAAGTTTGATCTGTATATATGTACGAATGCAACGGAAATTAATAATTGAGTTTACGCCGGCTTTTGGTCTTCTAAACTATCCAAAATTTTGCAGATGGATTAAAAACCAATGACGGTACAATTATTTTAAGACTACAATCTAGTTTTCTTATTAGGATCATCCCAGCTCATGATCAAAGTGTACTATTGGAATGTTTTTAACACTCTTTTATTATAATAATGTCCTCTAGACCGAATTTCGGTCATGGAGGCTAGTCTTAACGAAATCTAGCCGAAGCAAAGTTGTAAGCAAAGTTGCCCTCTCTATTTCCTAACTATCATAGTCTGATGGAATGGAAATTCGTTACGACCCGAGAAAGTTCAGGCGCAGGACCAAAGACTTTACGTGCTTTTCGTGTCATGGAGGTAAAACAACGCCAAATTCTGTACTCTGGGCTGCTACTGAGAATTGCTAGGCTGAAAAACCCGATAACTATGTATGGCCTGACTCGGTATTCGTGTCCTGGACCTCATGATCATTAGCCGCGCTTACACCACCACTTGACCAAGGGAGCAGCGAAGGACTATGTATATAAGAATGTAACGGAATTTTATAATTCGGCTTACACTCACCTCATATTAAGATACACGATATAGACTGAATAATTAGAAATTTTGCAGAAATATTAAAACTGACGACAGTACTTTGTTATGGCTATGACCTAGTATTCTCACTAGGTTATTGGTCATCATAGATCATGATCATTAGCTTTCCATTTATCACAGACATCAAGTCTTATATAAACTCTAATATTGCAAATATTAGTTATATATATGTATTGATTAATTGTAAAAAAACAAGTAACATTATACTTTCAACACTTCAGCTGTTTTTAAATTGTTATAAACGCTTTTTCTAAAATATAGACTGTGTACTCGTACTTTGTGTAGACTGCGTGAAGTTGAATTTGATTTAAAATGTTATCAATCGTCGATTCTCGAGAACAGTAGTGAAAATGGCTTTATTGTTATTATTCTAGTTTTAAATTATATGAGAATTACGTACAATGTTTAATAAATAATTTTAAAGGTTAGTTTTAATGTTCTGTTAAAACAAATATATCATTTTCTATATAAGATTTTAGTTTAAAATAACTTTTTGACATTTAACTGTTTAGGCTCGTTGGACTCAGCATGTGATTGTAACCAGTTTATGTAAATATCAACCTTATGATAAAGTATTATAGCAGTATATCAAATAAGTTAGTGTTATTATTATAAACTCTTCTACTAACCTGAAAATCACCATTTTAGAAACTAAACCGATGGTTTCATTTACATATACAGATAAATAACATGTAAGTAACTATAATATTATGGATTTACAAAAGATTTATGAAAAGAAACAAAACACTGGCTGCATGTAATTATGGCAACGTTCAATTTTTTTTTACGAAATGTTTGGATTCAATTACGTGTATTACTTAGATACTTTAAAAAATGTATTTGTATTGTTATGACATGGGAGCGGATCCCGTGGCGTTGTGAGGTATCGCCAGGCGCGGAGGGACTAGCTGTTACATAACGTGGAGAGGCTGCGGAGCTCGGGAGTACTGTTAGGAGACCTCGCTTCGAGCGATGATCTCTCGTTCGCGTGCTTGTTTTGCAGCGAAATGAGCTTTTTCGGCCGCATTTACAACGTATCCCCATGCGTTAGAACTAATATTGGTATTTTAAATTATAAATGAGAAAAGTTTTATATATTTATATTTCAGATTCATAGACGTACATTGTGATATTATTTGATTTATTATAGCCTATCAAAGTCCACTGTTTAACATAGGCCTCCGCATAAGTGAACATAGTTAAAAAAATTAAGGCCAATGTTGCCGCATGACAAGCGTTGCGACTATGACATAGTAGCAACATTTGGCAGGCGGGTTGGCAAACGCAGTTTTTTTTTCTAGTTGTTATTCGGAAAACGCAGCTGCCCCTCTTCTGGTTTGTTTCCCTTCGGTCGTCTCTTACGCGATACATGATGATAATTTCGCATCTGTTTTTAAAATTGGATTGGAAATTTAAATAAATAATAAAAAAAGTCGGTTTGTTAATTTTTATAGACGTACAAAATAATATAAAAATATTTAAATTGCAATTATCAGATCTCGATCATTATTATGTATTTTTTTATGTATTAATACGCTTGAAGTAATTTTTCATGATTAATAAAGCAGTGTGATTGCGTAATAGAAATAGATATAGAAATAAACTGTGACGGCTCTGTGGCGCAGTGGATTAGTAACGAGTTGCAGCGCTAATGGTTGCGGGTACGAATCCCGCACGGAACATGCATTTGTGTGGCCTACAAATGATTGTTTTGGGTCTGGATGTTTGTCCATGTGAAATGTTTATGTAAACTGCCCTTACGATACAGGAGAAGATCCTAGTGTAGATGTAACGTTTTCCAAAAAATATATATAATAAAACTAGAACTAGAACTGGAAATAGAAATCAAAATAAAAAAAAAACAGAAATAAATTTTTTACATTGAATATAGATTAAGACTTATTTACTTTTTGAACACGTACTTAGTGAATATATGTATATTTAAATGAATATATATATATATATATATATATATATATATATATATATATATGTGTGTGTGTAATGATTTCACACGTCAAGTTTTCTCGCACGGTGTAACAGAGGACTCGTCCGTGGGCTCAATCATTAGACGCAGGCTTCCGATAGCCGGCCACGACACAAGCGATTTCGGGCTCGGTTAAAGACCCCACAATCAAATTGGCCGGCGAAGGAACATAATAACGACGCTGTCATACTTTACCTACACGCGCTTTTTTGTCCGTTTCAAATTGTTGATGCGATTGTTTGCCGGTGCGTCCAATCGATGGAGCGAGATAATTTAGCGGAAAGTGATTAGAGGAATGGTTCAAACAATACTATGAATTTTCTTCTTTAAAAATGATTGATGTAAGTTTACGGTATTTAAAAAAGGTTTGTTCCACGAATGTCAGTAACCTACTGGCAAGCGTATTCAGCGCAAGGAAGGTTTTTTTTTATGGGATAAGTGTGACAAACGAGCACACAGTTCACCTGATGGTAAGTGGTTGCTGTGGCCCATAGACATCTATCCTCTATTACAAATCAAAATGCAGATGCGTTGTCACCCGTGAGGACTAAGATGGAATGCCTCATTTTCAGTAAAAAGGGTCTCCGGTTCTTTACACTCACCATACGAAACACAGCAGTGTTAAGCTGCTATTTTACGCTGGTATTCTGTGAGAGCGTGGTCCTTCCCCGGTCGAGCTGACCCATTCGTGCTACAACTATACTACTAATATAGCAGAAGCATGGCTCTACCACGTAATAAAACTGTAACTGTAATATTTAAAACTGTAATAATAATAATGTTCTCCAGGCCGAATTTTAGTCACGTCCGCCAGTCTCAACGGAGACTAGCCATCATCAGCGCAGGACAGGATTATATTGCTCAAGTGTGCGCCAGCATAGTACACTTTCTATTCCCTCACTCTCATAGTGTGAAGGGACTGTAATCCGACACGACCGGAGAGAGATTAGGCGCAGGACCAACGGTTTTCCGTGCTTTTCGAGGCACGGGTTGAAACACCGTTTTCTGACTTTGAGCCGTTACTGAGAGATTCTTGTTAGAAAAACCCATTATCTGATTTTAGGCCAATCCGGTATTCGAACGCGGGACTTCATGATCAGCAACCGAGTTTACTGCAAACACAGATTAAACTATACCTGTGGCATTCGACGTAATTTACTACAAAGTGACAATCGCCAGCCGAATCGGGCAGAACTTCTCCCTGCCAACAGTCATTTTTATGAGTAAGTATAGAGTAGTATAGTATAGTATAGAGAAAAGTTAAATACACTCCGTAAACACCACGAACAAACAAGCTAGTGATGCCAGTTACTCAACTCCACACAGTCAGTAATTCATTCATGGGGCAATGTATACGCTATTACAACAAAGTACCCCTCTCTACCACATAGGTTAAATATTTTATTTAACAAAGACTTTCTGAAAAGGGTACTCGTAGGTATATTATAAAATAAATGATCACATGATGATGATAACCACTGGGAATGAGGTGATCGTTTCCAAGCTGCTTCACATACGACTGTTCTAATTAATGGTACAACCTTTTTGTTACTGTGGAAAAAAAAGAAGTTTTCGTGGATTTCTTGGTGGTTCTTCCCCGGACAGAGGCTTTTTCCAAACCAGTGGTCAAGAAATAAAATACTTTTTTTTATAGAATAAGGGTGACAAACGAGCACACAGTTCACCTGATGGTAAATGGATACTGTAGCCCATAGACATCTACATTTATCCTCGATTAAGAATCAAAATGCAGATGCGTAGTCACCCCTGAGGCCTAAGATGGAATGCCTCGTTACCAGTAAAAAAGGTCTCCGGTACGAGGGTGACGGTATATCTTTTAAAAATAGTGTACATTTACATCAATACATCGCTGCATCCGATGGAATCACTGAGAAAAGCACTTTGACCACTCGTCCTTAAGGGTCTCTCCGAAAGCATTTTGAAACGCAGCCACTGCTTCCTCGGCGTGCATAAAACGTTTTCCTCGAAATTTTTCTTTTATTTTCGAAAATAAATAAAAATCGCAAGGTGCGATCGGGGCTTAGGGCGGGTGACCCACTAATTCCATGCCTGACGTCGCCAAGTAGTCGATTGTTTGCTTGGCGGTGTGCGAGGAGGCGTTGTCGTGGTGAAGGAGGATCCTACTGCGAGGTCGTTTCTCCCAAACTTTTTCCAAGACAAGTGGCAAGCAATTGTTAGTGTACCACTCTGCAATAACTGTTTTTCGATCCTCTAAAACAATTGTTGCGTAATGATCTGTCCTTCCGAAGAACGAGGCCACCATCTTTTTTCCCACGCTTCGACCTCTATTCACTTTAGTTGGCAACTCCTCGGAACGAAACACCCAGACAGCAGACTGTCTCTTAGTTTCAGGATCATAACAATAAATCCAGCTTTAATCACCCATAAGAATGTTGAACACAGCATTTCCTCCGTTAAATCATTGAACCATTTCACGACGCCAATCAACACGGCGGAGTTTTTGGGCCTTTGTCAAATTATGAGGTATCCACTGGGCACAAAGCTTCATGACCGCTAAATGTTCATGGAGGATTTTATGCACTTGACTCATACCGATGCCTAAGTTTGTCCGAATCTGCTGATAAGTCACTCTTTTGTCTAGATTTTTAATTTGCCGCCAAATTGTAAACAAATGACAAATTAATAAAATATATACACAATAATATTGTCAAAGAGTTCCCTTTTCAAAATTTGAAGTTATTTTTTTTATTATATCGTTTACAAGTGGCCAGTTCTAAAAACTTTCAGTGTCGCCCTCGTATTCTACTCTCACCATACAAAACACAGCAGCTTTGAGCTGCTATTTTACGCTGGTATTCTGTGAGAGCGTGGTCTTTCCTACTTTTAAAAATAATGATTTATAATCAATATTTAATAAAAAATATTCTAATCCATTGTAAACAGAGATCCCGGAACCCGAACTGATGGGGAACACTGCATCCGAGGCAAGCTGGTAAGGTTTATCTAAGCATTTTTCCACGTATAGTTAGTTGTCCATGAATCAGGCAAATACAATTTGGAAGATTTTGCATTTTTTATCACATCATGCTTATTCAATTACCTTTTTGCGAAGCTGTTTTCTTTGTAAAAAAATTTAATCAGCCGCAACTAAATAGGGTTTTATTAATTCTTTGCTTTAAGTGAGGCTCGATTTAGTACAGTTAAATTGTTCCTCCGACACATTTTTTTTTTAATTTAATCACATAATGTGGAACGTGCTCTAAAGATGGCTGTCATTTTTTATTTTGAATTTAAGGGTGACAATGACAGCATTAGTATTTATTACACGATGTATTACATACTTACGTGATAGAGCCATTGTACAGCTATATTATAGTTGTAGCACGAATGGGTCGGCCCTATCGGAATCAGAATACCAGCGTATAATAGCAGCTTAATGCTTGCTGTGTTTCGTTGCCCTTTTTTACTGGTAACGAGGCATTCCATCTTAGTCCTCAGGGGTGAAAACAAATCTGCATTTTGATTCTTAATCGAAGGTAGATATATATGGGCCACAGCATCCACTTATCATCAGCTGGACTGTGTGCTCGTTTGTCACCCTTGTTCTATAAAAAACCTGCTTTAAAATAACTTAACTCCCGGTATGTATGTCCGGTTCAAAATTTGTAATATAT